CACTCAAAAATGGATCACACACTCACACAATGATCTAGGGTTTCGTGGATTAGGGTTTGGGACTTGGAGGCTGGAAATGAGGCCTTAAGGTGGGGATTAAGTTGCTTAAATTAGGTGCAAAACCCTGAAATTAGGTTTTCCTCCTGGCAGGCCTACTTACTGAGTTGAGGGATCCCAATTCATCGAGTAGATGGCTTTAAACCCACTTCTAATCCTACTTCTACTCGACGAGTCTAGGGCTTCCAACTCGTCGAGTAACTTTACTAAATAAGCAAAATATGATTTAAATGCGTACAATGAATAAGGCGTTACAATTCTCCTCCACTTGATTTAGACTTCGTCCTTGAAGACTGCTTCACCTAGAAACAACTCTAGGTAGTTCTCCATCATCTCCTGCTCGGGCTTCCAAGTCCATTCTGAACCCTTGCGGTGCTGCCATTACACATTTACTAGCTCAACCCTCTTGTTCCTCAGCTCATTCGTCTTTTTATCGAGAATAGCTATTGGTCTCTCTATGTAATTCGGGCTGTCAGCAACCTGAATATCTTCTAGAGGCACAATCATTGTGTCGTCCAATAAGCACTTCCATAACTGGGAAACATGGAAAATGTTGTGGATCTGGTTGTGTTCTACTGGAAGATCCAATCGGTACGCCACCTTGCCCACCCGGGCTATGACCCTGAAAGGGCCGATATACCTAGGGCCCAACTTGACCTGCTTCCGAAACCGAATAATAACTTTCCAAGGTGACACCTTCAGGAGGACCATGTCACCCACCTGAGCAATCTGGAGCCTACTCCAAATATGTTGGATCTGCTCTATGGTCTTGAGTACCACCTCAGTACTCCCCATGACCCTCAGACCAACCTCACCCCAACAGATTGGGTCCTACACTTTCTCCCATATAGCATCTCGAAGGGATGTCTATCTATGTTGGCGTGGTAACTACTGTTATACGGAAATTACACTAACGAAAAATATGTATCCCAATTTCCACTGAAATTCAAAACACATTCATGTAGCATGTCCTCGAGAGTCTTTATCATCCTCTCGCTCTGTCCGTCCATCTGGGGGTGGAAGGTGGTGTTGAAGTGGAGACGAGTACCCATCTCATCATGAAACCACTTCCAAAATCTAGAAGTGAAACAGACATCTCGGTCTGACACCACCGAAACACGCACTACTTGTCATGCCACTATCTCCCGCACATAAATGTTGACCAACTTCTCGGCCAATATACTCTCCTGGATCAAGATAAAATGAGCACTCTTGGTTAACCGATCCATGATGACCAACATCAAATCAACTTCAACTGCGGTCCTGGGAAGCGTAGTAATGAAATCCATAGTAATATCCTCCAACTTCCACACTAGAAAAGATCTCTATACATCTTCGTGCAGGGCCACCAATAATCATGCAGGGCCACCAATAATCATGATAAAGATCTCTATACATCTTCGTCGCTCCGAGATGGATGGAGAACCTAGACTTTGGGCCTCATCCATTAGAATCTACCGCACTCCGCCCCAATACAGTACCCAGACCCTTCCATGCAGGTTCAATAGCCCACGATTGTCGTAATCAAAGGAGGCCACCTGGCCTATTATCCGCTCATACTTCTGGAACTCCTCCTTCAGCCCCTCAACCTGTGCCTCTCTGATATACTCTAACAGAGGGGTAATCATTGTCATCCTCAGACAGATGTCAAGAATCGGGGCCACTACTCTCTTGCGGCTCAGGGCTTTGGCCACCATGTTGTCCTTGCCCAGGTGCTAAAGGATCTCACAATCGTATTCCTTCACCACATCTAACCACCAACACCGCCTCATCTTCAGATTCGGTTGATCCATGAGGTACCTCAAACTCTTGTGGTTTTGTACATGGTACAACGAAACCCATAAAGGTAATGTCGCCAAATCTTGAGGGTGAATACCACAACCCCCAGCTCCAAATCATGCATCAAATAGTTATCCTCATGAGGCTTCAATTTCCTCAAAGCGTAAGCTATCACTTGACCCAGTGCATCAGAATTGAACCCATGCCTGTGATAGAAGCATCAGAGTAAACCACGAATTCGTCAACTCCCTTTCGAAAGGTCAGGATCGGTGCCTCGTATGACTGTTGTCTAAAAGTCTCAAAGGTTGCCTACTGCTTAGGCCCCCAACGAAAGGTCACCGACTTCTGGGTTAGTTAGTTCAAAGGTGTTGGATAAGGTATCTAAGTCCATAACTATATTTGGTATGTACTTGACCCGATTTAGCATGGTCCCTTTGGGTTGCATTTCTTCAGAACAATTTGTAAGGACGGGCTTTTGAGAAGAGAATATTTATGATTTGTTAATATATTACAAGTTATAATATATTAATATGAAATCATATAATTGAATTAGTATTGATCAAGAATTAATTTGGAATTAATTTTGTGGTCAAAAGAGACTAATTAAATAAATGGGGATTGATTGTGTAAATCATTCATTCTTATAAAGGGGGCTTATGATCCATAATTCTTTATGTTGGGCTAAACCCATGATGTGACCCATGGAAACTCCAAAGAGGTTAAAACCCATGGAGCATAAGGAATGTGGAAAGTCACGCACATTAGGTTTTACATGGATGTAAGCCTAATCATGCCTCACTATATAAGAACCTCTCAATCTAGCAAAATTGGCCACTACTGTGTGTGGATAGAACATAACCGGTTTGGTGTGCTAGGATATTCTCTCTCAAGTCTTACAATTATTAGTGGTGATTTGTGGTTCCATTCAATGCATTCACAATAATGGTGCTAGGCTCTTAAAGCTCCAAGCAACAAGCTACAACAAAAGGTATGTTATCTAACTAGTTTTATTACAAAAGTATCAAAGTTTTGTATGCTAGTTAGGGTAATACATTGGAAAGTCGAAAGTTTGCAGGTATAATAGAGAAAACATAGATCCAAGGTATTTAATTTGCATGTACACCTTAGGAGTGTTAGAATGCTCAAAACACAACAAAAGGAACTATAATCTTGGATAAGTCCTAAATAAATTTCCGATAATAACCCACTAGACCCAGGAAACTCTGAATCTCAATTGGAGACCTCAGAATCTCCCACTGCATCATGGCCTCTATCTTGGCCAGATCAACCAGAATACCCTTCTAATTGACAAGGTGCCCTAGAAATTGCACCTCGCGCAACCAGAACTCACACTTGGAGAACTTTGGAAAAGGTCTCTTCCTCCTCAACGTCTCCAACACCTCCCTCAGGTGCTCCTCGTGCTGCTCCTAAGTCTTGGAGTAAACCAAGATGTCATCAACGAAGACTATTACAGAACGATCCATCATTAGTTTGTATACACGGTTCATGAGGTCCATGAACGCGGCTAGAGCATTGGTGAGCCCAAACGGCATCACCACAAACTCATAATGACCATAACGAGTCCTAAAAATCGTCTTTTGCACGTCCTCATCCCTAACTCGCATCTAGTGATAACCCGACCATAGATCAATCTTGGAGAACCAAGATGTGACATGTAGCTGATCAAACAAACCATCGATCCTTGGGAGGGGATAATGGTTCTTTACCATTACCTTAGTCAGCTCCCGATAGTCTATACACATGCGATGTAACCCATCCTTCTTCTTCACAAACAGGATCAGGGCTCCCCATGGCGAACTACTCGGCCTGATAATCCCTAGTCTAGCAGCTCTTGTAGCTGCATAGACAACTCCCACATCTCGGAGTAGCCAACCATATGGTGCTTTGGCTATCAGAGTCGCACCAGGGACTAGGTCAATCCTAAACTTAATCTATCTCTCCAGAGGTACTCCAGGTAAATCCTTCGGGAATATGTTCGGCTACTCTCGCACTACCAGTACATCTTTTACTGTCGCCTTGCCCTTATCTCAGGTATCCATGACATATGCGACATAACCCATGCAACCCTGCTAAAAATAGCGCCTCGCCCTTGCTACTAACAGGCAATTCTATCACATCCAGTCTATACTAACATTTGCTACATTTTTCCTAGATCTATAGGAATCCCCTTACTCTATTACTCTAAATCACATGGAATCTCCACCAATTCCGGCATGTCGTCTTGTGAATGCACAATCGTATATGATGTGAAACCAAATAGTTAATCGAATAAAAGATTCTGCACCAGAACGGTTGGACTCAAACAAGAGCTATACACCAGGCTAAACCAGTCATTCTAAGTCTATATAGTTGGTATTACATACAACTCAAAGCATTCACTTAATAACCTATCAGTACTAGCACAATTTAAAAATAACACATAACATGCATCCAACATATCATGTGAAGAATCTAGTTATCTAGCATACATATATAAATCTTATATCCGAGAACAATAAATAATATTTGAACAATTTCCCTTTTTCAACTGGCACCGGCTAAATGTACACACTATGATTGTGTTCACCTTTTCCAAAACATTTCATTTAGTTTCCATAAAATTTTATTTTAGAAAAATAACTCTTGAGCTGCGAACTTAAGTTTAGAACTCACTAAAGTGAGACTGATTCTCTCAAGCTGTGATCTGATACCAACTTGTAACATCCCAAAATTTGAAATAAATTTGAACTTTTTAAAACAACATAAATCATCCATTTAATATATTTTATTCAAAACAAATGAAATACCAAACCCCAAGATCAATTATGTTTCCAAACATTATTAGTTATAATTCTAAAATTTATGAAAAGACAACAAATTCAATATTAATTCCAAAAACCCGCCTTAAGCCACTGTGTACAATCATGCCCGACCATCCTGTGTACCTGAAATAATATTTTTAAGGGAAAAGGGGTAAGAACAAAGCTTAGTAAATTCCACACATACACAATATCATATCATATAATCCTTACCCCTATACACGAATACAATCGACATCAAACACAAAACCATGCATGCATGTCAAAGAACGAATCATTAACAGACATAATCCTACTGGGACACAGTGGCTAGACCCGATCCCCCTTGCTCAGTACATCGAGACCTTAGGACACATTGGCTAAGACCGATCCTCCATACCCGAACCCATTCGGACACATTGGCCACGCTCGATCCCCTTTGCTCATTTCGTCGAGCCTGTGGGACACATTAGCTACGCCCGATCCCCACTCAGATGCACCGAGTCCTACCATGCATATCCTCAATACACGAGGCAACCTACTAGACTCTACCCCGCCTAGTAATACCCACATAAATAATACAATACATAGCACACACGAGGTAATGTAAAGAAGATATAACACAACACGGTGTAGTGAGGAACTCGCCTCCAAAAACAAAGCAACCCGAAACTCAATCACACATGTTTGCCCTTCACACTTCCTTCCACAAGCTCTTCTCCTTGATTCCACCTCTTTGTTTGGTCTTTCTCCTTTTCCTCCTTTGGATAAACCCTCAATGTGACTGCCTTCTTCTTGATCTCACAAACCCTAGTTCCCCCTCTTTTCTTCTAATCTCGGCCTCAAGGAAAAACACTCACTCACGTCTCTCTCTTGGGTCATTAGGTTAAACATATATAACTTTACATATATTTAAGTAATATGGATTAACGTGGGCTCAAGGGAATAGCCTAATTCTAAAATATGACTTCCTGTCTACAACCATGCTTCATTTTCGAAATTTTCATTTTAAACCTTGAAGTTTTCCATAATGATAGTTTCTACCCCATAAACAATATTCTTTGCATAAAAAAAGTTTCTGAATTAACACTTTCATCCCCTCTTTTGGATATTACTTACAAGACCCTTAAATACTAAATTCTTATAACTAAAATCATTATTTAGGTTATTTAATTATCCTTCGATTTAAATAAAATAAAATTAAATAATTAATTACAAAATTATTAACATACCGAAAAACAGGATATTACACTCTGCAAACTCTGAATTTGTCATTGTTTCTTCATCTCTGCTTATACCTCTGTATTCCTCTCTTCCTTTGATTTCTCCATAATAATACATTTTCCTCTATCTTGATTGGTTATAGTTGGTATTGGTTTTGAGGAACTTCCTTCACCGGTTGTCCCAATTGCAATTCCTTTAGTAATAGGCCTTGTAGTAGTGGCAGTTGCTATTACTGGATCAGAATTCGAAAATGTTGGTTTTGGTGTTGGAACATGACTTGCGAAAACTTTTCCAACAACCTTTACTTCTTCTTCTTCTGTTTTCCCAGAAGCACCTTCTCCTTTACCAACATGTCTTCTCTCTCCCCTTGCACCCCTGTGACAACAGGTGGGGCATTTGTTGGTAAGAGACTGATTAGCTGAGACAATGGGGCTAGCTCCTTCTGAATAGTAGTTTCAAACAAACAAAACTTCTGAGTTAATAACTCTGGAGTTATAAGATATGAAGAACCCGACTTCAAAACCAGCTCTTTTAGTTCACCTAACAACTGATTTATATTCGAAAAACTCGTAACATCATCCACAGACATCTTCTCAACTTTCGGACCAAGGGCTTCGTATAGTTTTACAAACTTAGTAACCTCATCAGCTATAATATCAACCTTCTAATTAAGAGATGCATAATCTTGTTGTACCACTGCAATGTCCTTACCGATATCCTTCCTGAGTTCTTGAAGTTTTAAATTCACATATTCCCAAACTTTCTTGACATCTTGAACAAATAAGATGTGCCTTTCCTTCGCTACAGCCTTCAATTCCTTTAAATCACAAGCAAAAGTTGATGATTGATTTTTCACCATTGTCTCATTGTTTCTATCAACATCTTGAATGGCTTCAGAAAGACGATTTTCCTGATGTTTGAGCAACATATCAACTTCCAGACTAGATATTGAATGTTTACCGCCATCAGCTTGAACTTGTAAAAGAGAATTAAGTTTTTGATTAAGGATTTTGAACTGTTTCCCTATAAGAAGCATATTATTGGGAATATCCTCCTCCTCTTGATCAAACTGAATGTCAGCAAATGGTCCATCAAATACATCCTCATCATCATCAGTTGGGATTTGAACTTCTTTGTAAGTAATAAGTGGATTGGTGGATTGGGAACAAAATATGGAAGTAATAGGTTGATCAAGAATATAATCGAATGTAGGTGAGTGGGTAACAATTGGAGTAGAAACAAACGAAGGTAATGAAGTGGAAGTGTTAATGGTGGAAGTATCGAAGGTAGAAGAAACAACAAGAGATGTACCTTAAGCATGAGAAGTTTTGATAGTGAACACTAGAGGTAGAGAAAGAACAATTAGTTTTGGTGTCGAAACTTGTGAAGAAACGACAGATATGATAACAGGAACTATCTTCTTGACATTAGATCTCACCGTAGAGGTTGGCACAGGTGAGTCCAAAATACCTCATCTTCGGTAGTCTCATCAGTAATCACCAACTTTCGAAGTTTCTTCTTCTGCTTCTTCAAAATATGGTTAGCCATATCTTCTTCCTTTCATTTCTTTGATGCAGGAGAAACTGGTTCTTGTACTTCTCGAAAAATAACCCTTTTCTAGTAACTTGAGGTTTCACCATGTAAGAAGGAGAAGATGGATGTACCTTCCTTTTCAACTTGTTAAAAACACCAGATCGAGAAGGTAAAATAGTAGCCTCATGTTTCTTAGCAACAATTGCAGTTGGATAATTGTCGTCTTGCTTTTTCGACTTCTTAATAACCTTGTGAGATGATTCCGAAGAACTTTTGGCATGCTTCTTTGAGCCTTTCTGTGATTTAGCCTTTGAAGAAGATAGCAGTACCCTAGTTTCGACATCCGGATTGACAGTTTTCAAGTAATTGATCAACACCAGATTAGCAGGATCAATCTTTCGAAGCATCATGTCTGGAATGCAAACAACTAAAGGAAAAATATTCACATCATCCTTAACTATTTTAGGAAAATTAAATAGTGGAAAAGAAGCAGTTTCTTCTTCTTGAGGAACTTCAATCCCCTCCTTCTCATATGCAAACTGCAAAATAAGACTCCAATAACGTGCACACGGAATTCCATTCACATCATTCATGTTCGCAACACTCTTCACAAATTCGTTCCATATCTGAGTCACATAATCAACCTACAGATCATAGTACAGCCCTGCGACCATCGCATATACCTCCAACCTTCCTTTGTCTAACCCCACATTGCGACCAATAAGACAACGAAGATAAATTCCAAAGAAGAACCATAAACAAGGTAATCCTAACTTCTTGAACTCATTGATTTTTGTAAGTTGTAGCTGATACCCCATTTCATTGAACATATGTAGAGTTTGCTCATTAGAAACCTTGTAAAAAGGAGCAACATTTGGGATTTCCAGAATCTGAGAAAAATTCTTCTTGGATAATCGAAACTTCTTCTCATTCACCATAGAAAACATTATAGAATTCAATATTTTGCTGTAGGTTGCAATCGATCCAGCAAGAGATAACCAGGAGGTTGGTACAACAATAGAAGCAAACATCATCTTATATAAAATAGATTGTTGAAGAGCAATGATCAAAACCTGCAAATTTTCAGGGTATAAAGAAACATCATTTTGAACTTGCAATTTTGTACTTTGAATCTTCATCAAGGGTTGCGAGGAGATATCTTCAGTAGTTTGAGATGGATCAGCAACAGTAGTAGGAGTAGACATGATTAGCATTTATAGAACAATGAAGAAGATAAAGAACTCTTTTATGATTTGGGATATTCAGAAAGCGTAACCATGTAATGTACCCCTTAAACCCTTTTTATAGGTGACCATTTGTTTTGAATTTGAAGCGGGATCAACATTAATGACAGCTGATGTGGCACCTAGAAATTTGCACCCATACGGTGATAATATAGCCATGCGTGATAAAGTGATGATCATGTTTCCTTGAAACTCGGAATGGCATACAAAACATCACGTCATACATCCTGTGAACGTACGCCAAGAGAATGAGAATTGTCAGAAACCTTTGGAATGGAGGTTAGGCTCTTTCACTTCCGGGTTGAAAAGCGAAGTCATATGTCAGACGTTCGAAATCATCAACCTGAGTTGATAATACTTAGAACCTCAAGGATTTCATGAGTGCAGTATGCCAAGGAAAAGGATACGAAGCAAAATAAGAAAAATCCGGATCTGTGATGTTGAAAAATTTAATTTCCACATAAAAGCAGTTAAATCTCGGGCAAAGATTACTTCATTAATCATCAAGAGAGATGATCAACTCGTTGTGTGGTTTCCCGTGAATTACAATCGAATACTTGTTAATAAGTATCTAAGGGATTCTTTTTGTGTGGCTTCAAAGGTGGTTTAAAATTTCGTTACAATGTATTACAAAACATATGAGTGACACCTTGTAAACGAAATTACATGTTTGACCAGTGTAGTCAGTGACAAGTAGGCTTTGGAAAAACTTTTGTAAGTGACAAAGAGAACAAATAATACTCACACGAAAATCATATTCAAGAAAACAAAACATTAGTTGGATCATGTTGGGTAACAAACATCATGGGATTCGAACATTTGATCAAGACCACTCAAAACATTAGAATATGATTTGGAGTATTGAAGATTGGTACATAAACAAATGTTTCGTTAATTCTAGAACAAATTTCCCTATCAATTCCTTAATTTGGTCTTACATTTAGGGTTTCACTTCAATCACGGTCTCATGATGTTAGATAATAAACACATATTTTTTATATGTCTAGATCCTGATTAGTTTATACCATAAATCTCTTAGACATATGTCATTGTGTGTGAAAGTGCAAGAACTTTTGGATGAAAAAGATTTGGTAGAAGATTCGAAAGTACCTCTGCTATTTATGGACCAAGCAGGAAACTCTTAACAAATTTATCTAGGATATAACAATGATCATGAAACTCTTCATTAATAAAACCTGGAGGTTGTTCCACATATACCGTCTCTTCAAGTTCACTATTAAGAAATGCACATTTGACATCCATTTAATAGACATCGAAATCTTTATGAGCTGCATAAGCTAAAAATATTCGAACAGCCTCGAGTCTTGCGACAGGGGCGAAGGTTTCTTCATAATGTATACCTTCGTATTGCAAATAACCTTTTACTACAAGCCTAGCTTTGTTTCAAACAATATTACCATCTTTGTCTGTTTTATTTTTGAAAATCCATTTTAAACCAACAATCAAAACATCTTTTGGTTTAGGAATTAATCAAACCTTGTTTCTTTCGAATTTAACCTATTCAGATTGCATTGCAACAACCCAATCTGAGTATTCCATTGCAACCTTAACTAACTTTGGTTCAATTTTAGAAATAAAGACATTAAACATGCAAAACTCTTAATGAGCATTCAATACCTCATTCTTTGCACATAGTTGAGCCCTAGTCAATACTCCTTCATGTGGATCTCCTATCACTTGTTCTTTAGAATGGATTTTAACCCATTTATCCATTGGTGGATATGCTGGATCAAAATCTTATAGTGCATCTTCGAACATTTCTTCAGTTTCGAAACCTACAACAGACATGGTATCATTTAAATCATCAAAAGTTTCATCTTGATTATTATTCGACATATTAAGCTTCCCCTCGACAATTTCATATTCATGTTGCTCCCCCTCAACATTATCATCCATTTTTTGATTCTCCCCCTCGAAAGAATGTTCCCCCTCAACATGAGACATCGAATGCAAGTGCTCCCCCTCCACTTGGTTGTTTGGCATACTTTCGCTATTTCCAGAAGAATGAGATCTCGAATTTTGAGCTACTGAATCTCGAGTAAGCGTCGATAGATCACAATGTTTTATTGATTCGGGAATTTGATTATCTATATCATGGACTTCAGCATCAGCAAACCTATCTGGAACACCAAAAATTAAATCATAATCAAAATCAAATGAATTATAACTATCAATGTCATCTATTGATTCATAAATAATTGGTTTTTGTTCAAAACACTTGTCAATTTGTTTGATATAATAACCATCGAAAGTTAAGTTGAATGTTTCTTCAATTTTTCGAGTTTGCCTATTCAATACTCGATATGCAACCGAATTATGAGAATAACCTAAGAAAATTCCTTAGTCAGCTTTGGACTAAAATTTCGAAAGATTATCCTTGAGATTCATGATAAAACACCTGCAGCCAAAAACATGAAAGAATTTGACATTAGGTTTTCGGTTATTGATAATCTCATAAGGAGTAATGTTGAATCTAGGATGAATAAACGATCTGTTTTTTGTAAAACACGCAGTTGAGATAGCTTCGGCCTAAAGATATTGAGGAAGGTTCGCATATATGAGCATCGTTCTTGCTGCTTCGCAAAGAGATCTGTTTCACCTTTCAACAACACCGTTTTGTTGTGTTGTGTAAGGTGAAGAAAAATTGTGTGAAATCCTGATATGTGCATAATTAGTTAATTATTTAGCATCTATTCTTAGTTATTTTTGATTAATTATGTGAATAATGTGGACGAAAGGTACTTAAAATGTTGTGAATTTTGTTTTCAGTCCAAAAGATATGCTTGGAAGTAAAAGGGAGAAAAGGGAAGCAATTGAAGATCAAATAGTGAAAAAAGGTGATCTACTCGGCGAGTACACGAGGATGTTCCAGAAGATAAATACAACTGCGGATTCAAGACGGACAAATATGGACCTACTCGGCGAGTTGGTTCTGCTACTCGCCGAGTACACCCTGTTTTGGGATATTTATAAAATACAAATCCTTATCTAATGGGATCACACTCCTGGCGATTTTTGAAGGTTTAGCTGCGACTAAGAGCCCCAGAAGACGCTAAGGAACCCTAAGCTTCAATCTTTGGAAGAATTCAAGCAATTAGGTTAATTCTACCACTTAGATTTAGGAATTGAATATGTTTGCTTTAGTAAACTTTGTTTTTATGTTTGTTTCTACTGCAATTATGAGCTAAATTCGTTTTTGTTTCTGTTTGGGGAATACCAAAGAACTCCTATGGTTTGATTATTGACTTTTGCTTAATTGTCTACTGGTGATTTATTAAATTAAGTTTGTTAAAGAACCTTATGTATTAATCACTACTATTTTCTGTTAATTGGAAGGCAATTAGGTTGCATGAACATCTCTTAATTGTTAACCTCATATGTCTATGTGAATACTAAACCATATGCTTAGAAGTAATGATTATGAAACTAAGATTAATAAGAAAATAGGAAGATTAATGTGTGAGCTTGTTTGAGAAACCATCAACAAGAGGTTAATTGAATTAATAACTTAATTGACCATTACAAATCTTATTTAATCCAAATAATTAATCTAGGGAATTAATTAGTTTAAACACTTGATCAACGCTTAAATTAGTTAATTGTCTAAGGGTTAGGAGTAATGAACACGAACCTAACTATTATAATTGGTAACCAATAGCAATTAATCTACCATAAACTTATATAACCATAGG